AACAGTGGTTCAGGTGGTGAAGATGATCTTGATGATAATTCAAAAAAACGTCAAAAAAAACGTGGAATTTTTCCTAAAGTAGCTACAAATATTATGCGAGCATGGTTATTTCAACATTTAACTGTAACTTTATATATATATATATATGAAATTAATTTTAAGATTAAATTTGTTTTCTTTTTTTTTGTTTATTAGCATCCATATCCGTCCGAAGAACAAAAAAAACAATTAGCACAAGATACTGGTTTAACAATTTTACAAGGTAAATTTTTTTTTCTATTTTTTAATTAGATTTCTAATTTCTTCTTTTTTTTTTTCTTTTCTTTATTTAGTTAATAATTGGTAAGTTAATCATATTTCATTCTTATTGGTTAAAATTTAATAGAATTTTTAACCAATTAAAAATATATATATATATATATATATATATGATGTTTATTCTCAATTTGGGACTTGTTGCCATTTGCCGGTATGGTCTTTTTTGTCAGTTTGTTATTGCTATATGTCGGCGATAATAATGATCAAACCTAGCTATATATATATATATATACATATATCTTTTTGACATATAATCAACATAAAGCAATAGGACGGTCAATTAATAAAATAAACAATCCGTTCATTGATACTAGCGTAGCTGACTATAGCGTGCAAATAGAAAATTAGGAAAGATCTTCTAGTGTAATAGACAGTCCATTTGAACTGTCAAAAGAAGAACATTTTCGTGACGATCTGTTTGATACAATGAAGGTGATTATTATTATCTATACGCACGCAAACATAGATCAAAAAGAATCTATTGCGTGAATGTTGATGACAGTAATGCGTGTAATAGTCGTTCAATAAATAGATCACGTTCGAACTATTCCTTTTTTTTTGTTTTGTTTATTTGTCTGTAACTTTTTTTTCTTTTTATATGAAAGATTCGAGAAAAACATCTGGCAGGATGTTGATGACAAGAATCGATCGTCACCATCGTTAAAATCACATTAAGAGAACGAGGAGGAGAAACTAAAGTTATACATTAGCTTGCCTTGTTTGTATATACATATCTTGAAGGAGAAGATCGTTACTGTATCGCTTTTTACACAAGATGGACATCATTTATCATTGCTGAGATATCTTTATATTGTAAACAAATCTGTCTATCTTCTTTTTCCTGCTGACAGGTTTTTGGAGGTCATATTTGTTCTTATCATAAGAAAGAAAAAAAGGTTAAATTTACTTAAATAATCAAGTTTTTATTGATAAATGTAACGGAAAAACATCAGAAGAAAAGTAACAGATGATAATTAACTTCTATACAATAAAATAAACATGTTCAATTAACATAAAACGATATGTGCGCATCTTCGTCATTAAACAAAATAGATATTGTTTGTGTATTGTTGAAACTTCTATTTATTTTTTATCTTTATAAAGGTTTATCAATGCCAGACGTCGTATTGTTCAACCAATGATTGATCAATCAAATCGTGCTGGTAAGTTTTACATAAATGGTAATGATAATATAAATGAAGAAAATCCATTATGTATACCATCGATGGTATCCTCTCGTATTGCTATGACAAAACGATCTAATAAACGTCAGGAAAAATCTCGAGAATTATTATTCAATGAAAGAAAATTACATCGTCGAACAAATCCTGTTAAAACATTGCCAGTTGTTTCTCAACAATTATCCCCTTCATATTTAATGAAAGGCAAGAGTGTATAACGCTCTAACACTATTTTATATCTAATGCTTCCTTCTACATTGATAAATTTTACATAATATTGAAATCATAAAATATATATTTATATAAATATATGTTCCTTTTGTTTTTCCAGCTCATGCTCAACAAGGTAGAATTCCTACTTATGCATCAATGTGTACGTGTGTGTTTAATTGCTCATATTTTTTTTTCTTCTGCTGCTTTTTTTTTTTCTAAATGCCTTGTATATATCCGATGAGTACGTTTTATTCTTGCTTGACAATTAATTATTCTTGGTTAGATTTGAATTGATAAAAATGTCGTATGACATATCGATAGTTGAAACTAGATTGATTTGTGAAAGAATTACTAAAGAAAAAGAACAATCAATCTAATTCATAAAGACACTTGAGCAATTGTTCCTCTTCATTCTTCTTTTTTTTTTCCTTTTGCTGTCAAAGTTAATTATTTGCACGAATGCGTGAAATAATACAGATGATGAAAAATGATAGAAATTAAAATTTTTATTATTCATTTTTTTTTTTTTCTTTCTTATTTTCTAGCGACTATACCCTCTGAATTTACCGATTGTTTTGGTCCATATTCTCCTGATGCAGCTGCAGCTGCTGCTATGCATTATCAATTTAGTGGAGGTTATCCAACAGCGCCTCATGGTAAGTTAAAAATTAAAATTTTGAATTTCTTTTTTTGTTCTTAGATATTTATTTTTAAGATATCTTTGGATCATATGCTCAAATGTCACAATTTCGAAATCCAATGATGATGATGTATCCAGGTGGTTATCCTGTATCATCAAGTCCAACTAGTATGATGGATCCAATGAGTCATCATCATCATCAACAACAAGAGTCATCAGCTGTTACAAGTGGAGCTTCTTAGACAAAGACAAAACAGACAAATGATATAACTTTCAAATTCGAATGTTTTATTATCTCTCTCTTTCTCTTCTTCTCTCATTATTTTTCTTTATAACCGGTGTTCGTATTTCTATTCTTCTTCTTCTTTATTTCTTTGAATTTTGATGTCGTCATTTGTGCGCATTTATTATTGCTTTTTTCGTCTATTCTTCTTTCTCTCTTCATCTTCTCCGATGTGTTCAGCAACTAAAAGAAAATTAATGTGACAAACCAAAGTCACTTATTATCAATTCTTTATGTTACATGTAAATCTTTGCAAATCTAACAAAAGAATTATAATTATTGAGCGTTTCATTTTGTTTTGTGTCTTGCGTAATCTATTAAAATTGTCCTTTTCTTTTTCTCTTCTGTGTTCTTGCTACGCATCGATCATTCGACGTTCGAATTTTTCTTTATTCTTTTTTTTTTTGTTGTCTTGTGTTTTTTCTCAATGTCCATGACACATATTGTTTTTCTTTTTTCTAAATAAGAAAGAGCAAACAAAAAAAAAAAATTATTATGGTTAAATTAAAAAATTCAAAGATGATTTAACTATTATTGTTTTAATATTTCTATTTGCATATTATATGTTGGAAATTAATAGTTAAATACTTATTTATTTGATTAGTTTATTGTGTTAAAAGAAAAAAAGAAAACTTTGAATCTTAGGACAAGAAATAAAAAAGCTTACAATTGGTAATAGAGCTGCTAACCGTAAATTTATTAGTTATCAATTAGTTTCAAAAAAAAAAAACTTAATTTTTTAAGTTATCTGTTTTCGAACTTTATTTATTAATCAGCAATAATAAGAGAGATTAATCAAAAAAAATTTTTAATCGACAGACAAACAAGAATAATTAATATTCTTTTGATTTTCAAGTATTTGCGAAGTCTAGTGATAATATAAATCTCTTAGAGTTTTATTTAAAAAAAAAGAGATTATATTTTCTTTAAATGTAATACTATTCAATTTGATAAAGTAGAAAATAGAAGAGAAACATAATTCTGACGCAATATTTAAGGCTTCCATCAACCTTCTAAAGGCTGTTAGCGCAACTCCTTTAGGATTAAAAGGTACAAAAAAGATGCAGCTGCTCTTGCTAATCATAGGGAAATTGTTTTTTTTTCTATCTATTTTTGGACACATGTCTTCATCATCTTTTTACTTAATCTTCCAGAAATACAATAAAGAAGTAGTTCATATGTTAGAACAAGATGTTATTAACATACGGCCTGTGACAGTGTATAAATAACGTCTTGCATGGTCTGTGACAACAATGGGAGACATTGTTAAGTCGTCTGTCACTATCTGTGGGATGAGGGAGTCCAAGTTTCTACCCTATATACTTCAACATTCCTTTTAGATCATGTTTCACAAAAGTTATGTATTAAATATTTATATCAATTTAAGATCAGCTTATAACATTTCACATAATGAAATCTATAACTATTGCTTTATTAAATACAGAAGCTCTTTATACAACGATGACAACAAGCAAAGCTGCATAACATCAAAAATGAAAATGTGGAAGAGCAAAATATTGAAAGTGTAAAATGTCGAAAATCAAAATATCAAAAATATTGAATATTGAATGACACTTGGAAGTTTTCCAATACTTCGTTTTATATCCATTTACTCTGTCATATGGAAGAAAGTGTAGATTTTTTGTATTGTTGTTGTTGTTGTTGTTGTTGAGTGAAACAATAATAAAAAGATGTGGGTGTAGGTGCATGAAGAGAAAAGCGACAGCCACATTAACACTACTACTCGTACCCAGACACAGGCCAAATACATCCACACACTCTCCCATAACCACGTTCTCATATTTTTATTTTTTAGTACAGGTGATGAATTTTTCGACACTTTGACTTTCGATATTTTGTCATCTAACCATGACGACATCATTTTCATAATCGTACACATATAACTTTTCAAGAATTTATGTATTTACTTCGATAATTTCTTGTTTAATAGTAATCTAAGTAGTTTATTTTTTGCATCTGAATGATGCATTGAATCTATATACAAAGTAGTTGAGTATATTTTTGAATTAGAGTTTCTTTACATAAGAATTTAATTTGTAACTTATGTAGAGTATCAAATCGTATAGAATATATTTGACTATCAATTTAATATCACAGTTAGTAAACATCAGAATAATATGTCTATGGAGGATTGTATGAATATAGAAACATTTAAAAATAGATTTTATTTTAAAGTAGTATTTAGTAAAATATTAAAACAAAATCCAAGGATTTACATATAAAATATATTTTTCTGTAAATTCTGAATTAACTGTATGCTTACAATGGGTACTAAAATGAAAATAATTCAATTTTTTATAAATAGAATATAATTTTAGCTGATGGAATTATTTATTTTCATCAAATGAAATTATTATTTTATTGTTTTCTCGAACAATCATTATCATTGGATTTAGAAGCAATATTATCAGAATTAACAGCCATTCTATTTAGAGAAACTGATGTTGATCAATTAGATTATATTAGTTTAGAAGGATTAAGGAGTTCAGTTAAACGAAAAGATGTTTTACCTCAAGGATGGGCGAGTCAAGTTATTCAGCAAAAAAACAAAAACAAAATAAGAATACTTCTACGTAAAATAAAATGACACAATCACTATAACCTGATTAACAAAGTAAGGGCAGCAAAATCAACTCTTCTGTTTCTTACAGTTCTACATGACAGTAAAACATCAGTTTTTTTATAAACAAAAACCTGAACTTAAAGTTGTTTAACAGCATAAAATATTTATTAACATTTAAATTAATATCTTATTACACTTCAGCGATGTTAAAATTCGAATATTAGCTTGTAAAAAATTTGAACAATGCGATCTCATAAAAAAAAACCACTTTGAGCAAATAAACACTCAATTGATGCGAATGTAGCAAGAATACAAGTGATTTTTCTTGCAAGCTTATTAAGAGATTTATACGAATTTCGTTTTTTTTTTGGAAAATAACATCATTGGTTAAATTTTCTTCCTTCAGAAAATCATCAATTTCTTATAAAACTGATTTTCGTATTGAATTATCAACTTTTACTTTTTTGAATGAATGACTTGAATCAATCGCACTCAAATTTAGGGTCCAAATCATGACTCGGACTTGCCTATCCCAGTTTTATCTAAAGTTCTTTCATTAAGATTAAAAAAATAAAATTTTCTATGATTTATTACAGTGTATGTAGTAGAATAATGCCAATATCCGTATCACGTAGTAAAAGTTATAAATATTCATGAACAATTCGTTGTTATTTATTTATATGTCTTCGTATATCTGTTAGTATATTTCATATTTAAATAGGGTAGTCAAAAAGTTCTCGTAGTACTTAGTCTAAAATTTCATTTCCGTCGTTTTTATTCCTGATGTTGACCGATTCTAGTAGAGACATTTGTTATGTATTAAATTACCAATATGTAGTTTCACAAGTGTCAATTGTGCAAGATTCTTCATGAATTTTTTCTTCGCCTCTATTTTCAAATAGAAAAACTGCGTATACGCTCATATATAAAAATTCGTTTGTTTTTATGTCTTACTGCAACACAAATTCATGATAAATTAACTAATCATTATGAACAAGGTTACATTCCATACGGTACAGTTGCTGATTGGATTCATTGATTTTCAAATGGATGAGAATTGTTGGAAGATAATTCTTGGAGTGGTCGTTCAATAACCATCATTACTCAACAAAATATTGGTGCCATTAAAGATCCAATGAATGTTGATCCACATATTAGTATTAATTAGTTTGCTACCATCTTAGATATATTACATGGCAATGTAGATACTATTTCTTAAGTAATACCTCGATCTACGAAAAATATTGTCAAGATGAGTATATCATGAACTCACTCAAAAATAACGACAACAACATGTTGAGATTTGTATTGAAAATTTAAAGAAATTTGAAAGCAGTTATCTGAAGACTGTATATGAAATAGTCATGAAAGATGAGGCTTGGATTTATCATTGCAAATTGAAATCAAAAGAACAATCTAAAGCATAGCTAGTAAAAGAAGATGATCCTGCAATAGTGGTAAAAAGACAATCATTCGAAGAAAAATCAATGTTTATAATTTTTTTTTAATGACAAATAGGCCATTACTGATTCATGAATTATCTTTTAAAACATCAATAAAGGCCATAGATTGTCGTTATGAATGTTTAATAAGATAAGTTAAAAATTTACACAACAAGGACTATCATTAACACCAAATGGCATTAAGTTACATCATAATAATTGCAAAATCACATATGAATGATATTGTTTTTAATTATGTTCAAGATGAAAAAAATCAAACATATGACTGATTCACTATACTCTCCTGACCTTGCTTCTGCTTGTTCAGTTGCTTGAAAAGTAAAATTTGACACATATCCAGATGCTACACGCTTGACTAAAGCAATAACCAAGGAGCTCAATTCAATACTTGTTCACGAATACCACAAGACATTCTAGACGTGGATTCCAAGGATGAAATTTTGTATTGTGAACAAACTTTTTAACAATCCTATGTATATTAGTCAACAACATGCTCATTATTTTATTGTTATTGCTCGAATAAATAAGTAAAATATGAATGTTTATTTTATGTTCGATTTTTATTTTTTAAATTAGTTTTATTTATTAAGGTAGAATGCTTAATTTTAATTGTGTTTTAATGTATCTATTGATGTTTCGTAAACATGTAACATAGTTAAGATCAAAAGATGATAATATAATCTTATTACTTGATCATTGTATTGATATACATAAAATTATTGCAATTATTATTTTTAGTTGAAACAATTTTGTCTACAGTAATACATTTAGCTTGACTAATTCACAAACAGTATTCATGCTTTTAATATTTATTTTTTTCTAGCTTATATATTTGTGAGTTTGTTTATTATCAAAAGATTCTAGTTTTCCATGCTATAGTAATGGTACGATTTTTCATTATTATTTATTCAATGAATCATTAGCTAATCAGATGATGTTTAAAAACACGATATTATTATGATCATAGAATGAATAATTGTGATCTGTTTCAATATTATGAATGTGATACTAACGAGAATAGTTCTCATAGAAAAGCTAGCTGTACTACTCACTGAAGTATGATATATTAATTTTTGTTTTATTTAAATTTAGTAACACAACATAATTATCTTGATGCTATTTTCAGAAGTAAATTAAGACTTGTTTATATCACAGATGTTGTTAAATTTGCTTTAGGTGTCCTTGTTTTATATTATTTATTTAGCATTCGTACGAAAGAATGGTTATTTTCAAGAAAAAGAACAGCGACTTATAATTATATTTTTTTTTGTATTTGAAAAAAAAATTATTTTATTCATATCACATGTTAATTCTTCGATGGTTAATAAAAATGCTTCTACATGAACCAAATTTTTGAAAAAAAGTTACTGATTCATGTTAGTTTATGTCTTATTGAAAAAATTCTACATTATCGTAAAACATTGTTCAAATATACATGGAGAAACATTCATGATGGAAGCTATTTTCTAATCACCTTAGGTAAAAAATTTTTTTCTTATACACTTCGAAAATTTTGATTTCTTAATATTTGTGTTAGAAGTTGTTCATTTAGTAACAAATAAACTACAAGACTCCATCGATTTGAATATTTCGACTGTAGCTAATTTTAAATTGCATTCATTTAGTATTCATAGTGCTTCTAAGCATAGATTGTTAAGTCATTTAGACTTAGATTTAACAAAGCTTTTCATGTTTCTGATTATATGAAGAAGTTTTTAATCTTGATTGTTATTGAATGTTAGCAATCGTTTATATTATTAAATATAGAAATGCTTGTGAATGTATGTAAATAAAGACCAGTAGACTGATTAACAAAACCAGATCTCAAGAGATACAAAAATAATTTTCCTAAAGACACATGTCATTTGATGAGACACACTTATCAAGTGATAAACTGCGTAGGAGATGAGTCTTATCTGATAAGATAGAGTATATTGAGATTAGAGTAAATCTTGAGCAGTGCGAACTTATTGACCTTCCTCCTTCTTTCTTTATATCAATCTTAGTTATTTTTTTTTAGAACAAAAGGCTTTCATCTCCTTCAGATTGCTTTCAAAATCATCTTCGAAATTTTAACTTCAAACTTTAAACAAATAAAACATTCAATCAGATTAGTTCATTGTAATAGTAACAAATTTTCAAGTATCTTCTATTCTCAGATATTAATATAATAGAAAATTCTGTTATACGGAAAAAGTAAACCTAGTTCTTAGATTTATATCTTAAGATAGGAAATATTTGAAAGTTGAACACTTTCACAATGAACTAGTCGTAATGAGAAATTTATTTGTGCAAAGTTTGCATTAAAAAAATTTGATTTTGAAGCATAAGACCATGGTATTGCGTTATTGAAACTAACTAACGAAATCAGATTCATCTTAAAATTGATTTATTACTTGACGAGATTCCTTCGTAACAGTATGGACTACTACGTGTATCTGAAGTTTTTTGATGTGAATTGCTTCAACATGATCATTTCGTTATAATGTACTTTTCAGATTATCTACTCAAAATCCATGAATATGAAGGAAAAACAAAATTATAACGATTAAAACAAGTTAATATTCTTTTCAAGCTTTAATCTTCGTTTTTTTAATATTCTTTCTAGTTCTTGAAACACGTAATTAATGTTGTTAGAATCGGAATGAATAATAATAATAATAATAATGTTCAATGCATATTTTCACATATATAAATGACCGATGTTCCATGATGTATTGTGTCTATATAAGATTATTTTTCACTTGGGATATAACATCGTGCAACTGGAAGAATAAGAAAGACTGAAAGATAAAGCTGAAATGACGATGAATTGTTATGAACAATGAAATAACAAGTTGTAAGCAAAACAGTTTACTCGATAGCTGTTCACATATAAGTTGTTCCAGAAGTCAGCGAAAAAAAGTTTTCGTAAATATTTCTTAAATACTTCAAGCGATTCATATATTTTAAAAAAACAGTATTGTAGTATATTCTGTAAAGTTTTGTCCTATATAATTTCAAGCAAATGTCTATGTTCATAAACATTAGAATAGAAAATAGTCTTTGTTAATGGTCAAATTTGAGTCCACTGTCATAGTAAAAGGAAAAATGCAAGTGAAACTTGACCTACAAACATCAGACATAGACTCCATTAGAGATGCTTTTGCAAAATTAGTATAATAGTAAATTGACAACAATTTGAAGGACCTTTCAAAACTATAGAAGCAAAAATCAACGAAATCTATGATGATTGTGAAAATGTGCCAATATCAAGTGTATGGGTCGCTGTAACAGATTGCCTCATGCCACGAACAACAGCAGATCGAATTATGACTGATTATCTTCTAATAAAGTCATATATGAAGTACAATTTATTCAACAACTTCACGAAGAATATTGACAAGATCGAGTTCAAATGATATTACAAATTGATATCAATGTTAGAAAATATCAACAATCAAGAGAATTCTTCTTTTTTTTTTTCATGTAAATAGTTTATTGATGAATATGAAGTAAAAACTTATGTGTGTAAGATACATATATATATAAAGATTTGGCTGCATTCAAAATAAGAACTGATAACAGAAATAAATTAATTCATGAAAGTAAACTTTCTACAATATTTTTTTAACGATTTCGAGAACAATGGTTTTATGTATTTCTGTTGACGGTAATCATTTTGAACATTTATTATTAACCAAATTATATGATATAAGACTTAAAAGAATATTATAAAAAAAAGTAATTAAATCGTTCGAATTAGATAAGAGATATTTACATAAACTTTCCTCAGGAACTTTTGAAACATTCTGTAGTTAAAAATCTACCTTTAAGATAATAAAAAAGAATTCTTATTACAGATGGTTACTCAATAAATACGTTTAATTAAACATATTTTTCTTTCCGACAATATTTGGCTTTAGATTCATGTTTATAATCATTGGCCACAACATGTTTATGATTTAATTCAACTGAAAATATTACAAGAACATGATATTTCATTCGATGATAGTAATAATAATGATCTTTGTATATCAATGCATTCATGTATGCCAAGAATCTACAAATTTTGAATAGGATATTTCAAATCAACAAACGATATACTAAATACGCAATTACTTATTGATATTAAACAGCAATGTGAGCATTCTTTTGATAGAAAACAAATAAAGACAATCTATTAGACCATATACAAATCTTCCATTGCTTACATTTTCAGTCTGAATATCCATGTGTATTCTATTTGTTATTTAATTATTGTTTTAATGAAACTTACTTCATTTTGCAATCGAACTACATTCGTCTAAAAAAAAGTGGATCACATAACATAATCCTTAGTCTATTATTTGTGAGACTGTATTCTCAACTAATATTTCACGGTTTTCAAACAGAATAATATCCATTTCATTTCAAACAAATATCATATTGGGAATCAATATACAAAAAAGTGAATCAATGTATGTATGTTTTGCAATTCTCTGCGTGACTTTTTTCTGATCAAATTTTCACTCCACCACCACTCCCCATTAAGGATGTGTGGTAAAATCAATTTAATCAACACAACTATTTTATTGTTTAGTCACCTGGTATTTGTCTTCAAACAATGTTTTACAAGTTGAGAACTTTCTTTCCATTGCTACAATGACTTTTTGATTAAATTCATTTTAGCACACATACCTGAGAGAGTAGAGGGGTGAAAATTTGATCAGAAGAAACATCACACAAATAGTTTGAAACATACATACGTCAGCACTATTTTTGTGCTGATTCCAAATATGATATTTGTTTGAAATGAAATGGGTGTTATTCTACTTGAAAACCGTGAAATATTATTTGAGAATTCGATCTCATGAATAATAGACTAAGAATTTGTTATGTGACCCACTTTTTTAGACGGTTATAGCGGTAAAAACATTCTATTGATTACACAATGGAGTAAGTTTCATCAAAAACAATAGAATACACATGGGTATTCAGACTGAAAATGTAAGTAAGGGAAGATTTGTATATGGTGTAACAGATTGCCTTTATTTGTTTTCTGTCAAGAGAACGTTCACACTGCTGGCTAGTATCAATAAGTAATTGCGTATTTAGTATGCCGTAAAGATAGACTTTGTTCACAACTACCACCGAATCAAAATATCTCAGTTTTAGTATAAAGATAATTAGGAATTTTTTATTTTTCATTCCATAGATGACTCAATTAGATTGAACCTTGAAAATCAAAATGAAGTGAAATGTATTCTTATGTATCATCGTCATTTTGAGTAGTTTTTGACAAAAAATTTAATTGTGGCTGTTTAAGAAAGCATGTCGTGTGAATGACACGTGAACAACGTCCATTTAAATGATTTATTAGAACGTCTGAAAATTGAAGAACAATAATTGAAACGGAATTATGTTAGAGAGTTTTTACTTCAAGTTCATTTATATACAACGAATGCAAATTTATTGTACTGCGAAATAAATAGGTGTTATAGAAGCACTCAACCTTTTTTTTTTATGATTTGATCTAATTAGAAAAGAAAACGTAGTTAGTTGTAATATCGTTAGATGGTATTCGACAATCCATAAAACATAATTGAACTTACGTAAAAATCTTTTCTCTTTTCAAATTTCATATAAAATATCATTAAATAATTACTAATCGATTCTGTAAAAAAAACCTGTAATCTATGAAAACTAGAACCTATTTTGTCTGTTTGAGACAAAATTTTCGATATATGAAAAATATTATTTACATAGGAATTTAAAATACGTTAAAAATAATTGAAACAAAAACAAAAGGATTATATTGAGAAGGATAAATGTCCAATAAAATTATAAGAAAAATAGAAATAGAGTAAAATAGTTTCTGTTTACAATGACATGATAGATAAATAGACCTTTTACTCTGAAATTCATTAAATAGTTAATCAAAGAGTTTCTATTTTTAGTTGAATAAAGAAAGTAAAGTGCTCCTTTAGTTGTTCCAAGATAGAAGATGTCAGAAAAAATCTTATTAATATCGAATGAATTGAGTATTCCGTAAAATATAATAAAAAGTCTTCACACTCTATGTTTAATGATATAATTTGAATAATTAAAAAACACAAATAATAGAAAAAATTAAGTGTTTAAAATAAATTCTTAATTATTATACATTAACAAACTTATTTTTAAATCCATTTTTTTCTTTTATCTGATTAATGTCATTTAAAGTGTTAATGAATACAAAAAACTCCTTTTTTACTTTAACACCTACAGAAACATGTTCAATTTGTTTTTAATTAGCTTTTTTTAAGTTCTATCTTGTTGAAAGACATGTTCATCGATTAAATTAAAATAATCTCGTAAATATGAAAACAGTTTTGAGAAGCGACTATTCATTACTTATATTATATATTCACATATGATTATCAGGGTAAAAAAACTTCTATTCAACAAGTCAAATTAACATTCCGAATCATTGACATCGAAGCACTTTTCATTCTGTGTCAGAAAATTAAAGACTATGGATCTATTTTAAAACTAAACTCTTTTCATTGATCTATCATTTATTCCTTCAATATTTTATGTTTCTGAAAATCAAAATAATAGGAAATTAATTTTCAATGAAAAATTGCGATACAATAATTCTCATGAATTTTTCTAATCAACTGTTCTATCGAAAAAAAAAACCGGTTCATATCAACATTTAAATGTCCAAGGACAACTTTTCTTTCATAGATATTTTAATTAACGTCAAGAACAAAATATCTCATTTTCTTTTCTTATTTAATGAACTTATGTAATAATCCCTGTATATTAAAACAACATACTTTATAAGAAATATGACACGTGTAAGATCGTATGGTCTTTTTTTTGTCTCGTGACTCTATTTAGAGAAATATCGTTCTTTTTTTTTTCTGTCCTTAATAACCGTTCTTTTAACATTGTACAAATGTTTATTGTTGTCCGAAAAGACCTTCACTTTATTCGCGCCTTCTCGTTTTCTTCCTTATCGAAATGTTGAGTACATTTGTAGCCTTTCACTATCTTTCACTTTTCTTTTTATAGCATTATTTCCCTCGTGACTGTAAAGTGTATTTGCATCTGCATTAAGGGTACAATGACCTGAAGCATTATATAGTAAAAGTTTACTTCATCAAATTTTTATGCAATTTATTTTTTCTCTCAAGCGTTTACTGATTTACCCTATTGAATAAAAAGTAGAACATCAATATTTTCTTGTGAACCACCAGCATTTTATAAATTTAATAAACAAGAAAATGTCATTTATATGGTATATATTAAAAAAAAAGAATTATTTCAATTATTTATTCCTTAATTTTTATTAATTAGTTTTTTATTTCGTTCAGAAAAATAAAAGTATGTATAAGTTGATCGATAAGAAAATAGTTCTTCGTTTTATGTATATTACTTGTTTTTTTTAAATAATAAATTAAAAACTGACAGTAATCATAACACATCAAAAGTTTCATTTCCTATTAACACAGACTATAGATTTATTTGTGCATAAAATATAATTACTGTTTAAAAAAATAAGTGGAAAGTTGACTTTTTTGAATATATGATGCAAATGATTTAATTGATGTCATTGTATGATACACAGTTTATGCAAAATGCTATTATAGAACAAAAAAAAAAAGAAAGTAAGACAGGATAAAAATAAAAAAAGGGACAGAGAGTGAAAGAGAAAAAGAGAAAAAATATAGTTATTGTTTAATTGGTTGATCTAACTGAGATTCTTTTTTTTTTGTTGTTATTTTGATGATTCATTATTTCTTCTCGTTAAATAGATAGTCATCAAGATAGTTTTCATTCCTTTTTTTTCTAACATACAACGCAACATCAGTGAAATATACACAATAATAACCAGGTATTGAGAATAACAATCTATTAATGTCTGCTCATTGACAACTTTAACTTGTCTATTGTTAGGAAAGTTTCATATAAATATTTATTAAAATCAACAGAATGACATTTATAAATAGAATCAACTGTTAGAAAGATTCAAACTCTATTGAAAACTCGAGAAAATTTTGGTGTTTCAAAAATCAACTAAAAAAAAAGAAGTCGCGCTTGTCTTTTGTACATAGAATACAAAACTATTATCAACTTTCTCCTTCTTTTCTAACATTTGGATACTCGCAACAATTCCATTAATAAACGATGTGTATTTTTAACACCTCTTCTGAAATGAACTCTGTCAGAGGTATTTTCTACTTGATGAAAATATAATATAAACATCCTTTGAAAGTAGAATTGTCAGCATAACCTTAAGAGAATAATGCATTGCAACCAATCATCAGATTACAGATTTTCTTTAGAATTTAATTAAAATATAAGTTTTAGCTAAATTACTATGATCTTGATAAACACAATGGTGTTCGTCTACATTTATATTTATTTCTCTTCAATTTATGAGCTGCATTAATGTATATATAGCTGCTAATATTTTTTTCAAAAATAATCATTATGAGAAAAATGTCATACAATGATCTTTCTTTCTTTCTTTCTTTATTCTATCTAGAAGTCATATTGATCTTCAAAAAGTGCGACTATCATTCTAATCTTTGTTATTATTTTTCTTTTAGCATCATGATGTTCAAATCATTTATTATTTTTTCAATTATTGTTGGTCTTGTTTTAACTAAACCTATAAAAGAAAAAATCAAAAATGAAAAAATTTCTCAAGATATATCAATGGAACAAGCTTTTCGACAAGCTGAAATGACTCTCAATAGTTATTTTTATTTAATAACATCAGATACAGATCAACTTGTTCATGCTCTGTTACATATATTAATAAATAATCCAAAATCATTTCCATTTATACCATATCGTGCATTAGATATAGCATTGAAAAATTTTGCAAACAAGTTAAGTCAAGATGATGTGGATATTTTAATAAAACCAATATTATTGTCTATTGAACAAAATGCTCAAAATAATTTGAAACAAGCATCATCATTTCAATTGACGGATGAAATTAAACATAAAATAGAAGATACATTGGACAAATTCTTAGAAGAACACGAAAACACTTCTCATGTATAACAGAAAAATGCAAATTGAATAAAGAAAAAATTCTGTTTCATTGTTGTGTTTGAAGGCACGAGTAAAAGAATAAAAAAGAATCTTATGTGCAAGAATATTTTCGTATGTGTTGTATCTGTGTCGTCCGTTTAAACTTTGTTGAAACAATATATATATATATTTCTGTAATCTACATGTATTATAAATTCAATTCGCTGATTTTAATCAGTAAAATATGATCAGAAAAGAAGATTTATTTAATAACTTCAATAATGGAATGATGATAATTTTCTATAGAAAAACTAAGTTAACAATCATTTTTATGAGTATAAAATGAATGAAAACAATAATAATTATGTTCATGCTTTAAATTTATTTGCAATCGCTTACAACTGTAATAGATTTTTTTGTGTAAAGAGCTCTATGCTATTGAGATTCTAGTTTATCTCTGGGTTAGAATTAGACTTAATAAAAATTGTTTGATGTTAAGTATTTGACAAATCACAAAATTATCTCTAGTATTAAGAACATTTGAACTATCACATATAAATGTTTTGAAGCTTGAATAGATTAGGCAAAATAATAAATCAGTGATAATAAGCATGAAAGATTATTATCTTCAGTATTTACAACAGAAGTATTCATTCAAAAGGTATTTAAAAAAATCAACACACTAATGTTTGCGTGAAACTTTCTAGAAAAAAGTGTAGAGTTACAGTAAACGAACGTTTGAAGATTAATTATTTATACACTAATCTATTTATATATTTATAGAACATACATGTAATGTGATTATATTTTGAAAATTATGAATAACTATTTAATTATAAAATACAAATCTATGTGGAATTGAAGGTTTGTTTTTATTTTTTATTTTTTTGTAACAATAAATCAAATATTAAAAAAAATGATAATATTTATGTTTTAATAAAAATGCTCAAAAACAAAATTGCTATATATTTATCTTAGGAGATTCTATTCATTACGAAAAATCTTGATATTTCCTTACCCGTTGATTCCACGTATCTGGTTTACGATTACTTGCCTATGGTTATTTCTTATATATGTTCAAGCAATGATTATTTAAGCTAATTAAGTTTGAGACAATTTATTTGGCGTTATCTTTTGAAAAAAAAAAAAGAAAATTTTTCGTCTAAAAATTGTTTACTGATAGGAATAAACATGAGCTTATTTTTTTTTCTGTTTTCATCTCTTGTTCAACATATCTTAAGAATATCCGATCTGTTCTTGATAGGAAGGTTGATGAATAATTTGACATGATATGACAATTCTCTTCTTTTATTCTAATTTATTGAATAAGATCAAAATGTGACATTTCATTATTGAAAACAACTTCTTCAGACATAGAATAGAACAGAAATGACACATATAGATAATATTGGCTAAACATTTCTTCTAATAATAATACAGAAAAAGAATTAAAACCTACTCAGCTATTACTAGTACCGTCTAGTTTTTTCCTATTACTATTAGAAGAAAAGTTCGGTCAATATTGTGTATATGTGTTGTTTCTGTTCTATTCCATGTCTGGAGAAGTTGTTTTCAACAACGAAATGTCACATTTTGATCTCATTCAATAAATTGGAATAAATGAAGAAAATTATCATACTAGGTCAAAAACATCCGATCTAGAAAATGACTTTTAATATTTCTATTGTACAATAGAAGAGACAGTTGTACTAAGCTGAGTAGGAGTTATCGATAAAAACACATCAGAATGAAAAAATCAAAGACATGCTCCTATCATTAAGAGAAATAGGAAGCACATATAAACGGGTTAAGTCATGAATGGTCATTATAGTCTTGAAGAACAGAGCAGAGCTAAAGAAAAAACAGAGATTTTATTTGTCAAAGATTTAGACATAAATTTGCTTAAAGGTGTTTAGCATTGGGCCAGTAGTAAACAAAATGAAGTTTAAGAAAACAAAATTAAATTATATTGATAATGAACAAAAGTAAATTAAGTTGTTCACAAAAACTCAACGGCTAATAAAATATAATCAAAAAAAAAGATTTAACATTTTCTACATCGAAGAACCAATCTTACCTTTGACTAACAGTAAGAGAGTGTGGACTAGAACTCAGATACATTGAATTTATTCGGGTTAAATTACACGAATGACATGCAAACTGACAAATTGAAATAAAAGCTACGTATGACATGCACAAATTAGAATATTGGAAATTTAAATGATTTATAAAGCTGCCGACATATTAGAAGATCTCTCTAATAGTTGATGTTTTAGTTTTACTATGTTTATACTTTTTCTTTCTATATATGTATTTCTAATCTTCGTTTCAAAAATATTTTTCTGATGTTCAAGACAATCTGTACTTGAATAATATAAAATGTAATTAACGGACGTATGTATATGACATATGAAATTGATGTCTGTTATGATCAAATTTAGTTATTTTTCATTTATTTTCTTCTCTTTTCACTAACAGTCAACTATATAATTGTTTTCATAAATGAATAAACATAGAATATTTTTTATAGATAATGATCTAAGCTCAAATTCTGATCTGCTATCATTAAATATCGATCATGATTACACTGATCGAGAATCTGATTCAGAAAGAGATGAACAAATTACAAGTTCAATAACTGAAACACAACTTGAAGGACATGCCGAAAAACTCAAAGCTTAATTTTTTCTCTATTTGATCGTATGAAATACCAGCATTTTATGAATGAGTTCCTTTTTCGTGTGTAAAAAGGTTCATACGATGAAGTGTAAAAAATCCGTATTTTGTATGGTTTAGTACATTTTATGATTAAGATACTCGTTTTTTGAAATATTCTTTAGTGATAGAATGTAGATTGTTTTCGTTAACAGTACTAGTGTAGAAAAATGAAATAAACGTTAAGTAACAACATAACCAGCGTAACAAAACTTTTACAAAATTATATCGTTGAAGGTAGCAAAAAATATGACTTTTTTAATGGATATAATAGAGAAGATTCTCCCTTGCAACTTGTGAACGATAAGACAATAGAAGATTCGAGGTTTTCTAATGTGTCGACGGCTTTCGTGTATGTAATATGTCAACAATTCAAAATCTCATCAGGATTAATTTTAGTCTCTTCGTCATGATTGGATTTAGTTCATCGAGTTGCATAAGAAAACATATTTTCAAACACAAAAAAAAAACATTTTAGAAGAAAAGTTCATGATATCATTATTTTTAAATATAGAAGGGAAATACACTCGAAATATTGACTTTCATAAAATAAATTTTTCTATCTGTGAAACATCCTTTCCCTTATGTAGCTTGACGACCTCTATCCACTCGTGATGAAAAAAGAAAAATGAATTGTAGTGAAATTTTGAATCGTTAGCACAAATCATACACTGTAAATACCTTAAAACTCGAATATTTTAGTCCATGTATGCCATAAGTAGTCCGTATTGTAGGCTTGTTAATTTGCCAGTGACTCATATAACTGAACTCGGGTAAGTTCAATATACTAGAGTTATCATGCACATTCGTCTGTTGTATTTAAGAAATTTCGATATTCGAAATTGTAAATATAATTTATTACTTTTTTGTATTGAATTACTTCTGTAATGTATGGATTTTGTATCAAATAAAGCTATATTAATTAAAAATAACTAGCATATTTGAAACGGTCTCACATTGAGTAAACCATTTGAAAAATCATAGATTTAGATAATATTGCAAATCAGTCAGTTCTGAATGTCGAAAATAAGCAGATAATCACATGATATGAATTCGATTGATAATAGAAATCGTATTTTTTTTTACAGTGCTCAGTATCTTAATGAAGAATGGTTTGAGAAAAGTTTTGTTCTATCAATTATCTTCATAATTCGGTTATGTCAAACCATCAGATTTCACTTATTAATATTTAAGTAATTAAATGTAAGTTATCTGCTTTTCGGACAAGATATAAATCCAGTTGGAATATCCATTCTAATTTTTAGCTTATAACTAGTGAACAAGCAATAAGCAATTACATAATATTCTCGCAATGAATGGAATTGCTAATATTCTTACTCTAACTGTTTGTCAAAGTTTATAAGGATTCCCGTAAGCAATTATTATGTGATCGATTGAAAAACAAAATAATAAGTATACATTAATTTCATTCAATTTTGAATTCGATGATGAACAATTGAGTCTCAATTAGACAATACGGAAGAAGATATCATACTGTTATTAGATAAAAATAGGGGTGCTGTATTAGAATTAACAGTATCTAATACGAATACGTTAGGCATTAGTATTAATGTTTACTCTAATTCTTTGGTATTCTTTATATTAGAATGAATTAAGGCTAAGATATTAGTATTCAATTAACATTACTGTTACTTCTACTCTATAACTATCTGAGATTATACCTCGGAAAGTGATGTTCAGAAGTTTCCAATAATAGAACAAAGGTTACTTTAATCAGAAGTGTAATTTTTAAAAAAGAACAAAAATGTTTTTTTTTTTAATTGGAAGTCCTATTTCCAATAGTGAACAATTATTTTCCGTTTTAAGAAAATGATTCTAAGATAACAGAATAATTTTCTTCTATTTTGGAAATGACACTTCCCGTTAATAAAATCTTTGCTCTGTTATTAGAAACTTTTGAACATGACTTTCAAAGATATAGCCTCAGGTGGTATTATTTTAGAATTAAAAATAATGCTAATTAAATGCTAAGGCTTTGGTATCTATTAATTCTAATGCAAATTATACCAAAGTATTAGAATGAGTTTTAATACAAATGCTAATCTGACAGCCACAGATTAAAATCAAATTATAAACGACGATTAATTGAGAATTTTAACATTCGATTATTACTTTCATTTGCCATATCGAGATTGTTGTGTCGATTGCATAACATACTCATCGAGTATTTGAATTGATTCGCTTGATTTTTTTTCTTCTATGTTGTGTTTCTATATGTCAATGGATTGTTCTATAATTTTGTATGTTAATTACATAAACAGTATTTAACTGACCCGCAAGCATCTTATCATTGTTTCAAAGCATTTTATGAACTATGAAAATTTACAACAGCAATATATTATTTTGTGTCATTCATATACTTCACCATTTCTTAATTATTTTAAGTTGAGCATATACAATGCATGATTCCAATCAATAAACTAATAAGTGAAACAATCGAATGGAATGAAATGATGATCTCTTCCAATACGTACTGCTATTACTTTTCCATTTATTTTATTAGCATGCAATCAACTGATTGTATTTTCTTTCTACAGACACAAATATAAACAAATTCATCATTATTGTCCTTTTTTTTTATTAACTAATCTCGAAAATATCCAAGATAATCACTTATCGATGTATAAATGTCTTGAGATTATCACAACTTTTTGTGTTTGTGTTATTGCATATGATTTAACAATATGTATACTTGTAAAAAAATTTCACATCAGATGAATAATTCAATTAATCATTTTATTTATCGATTTGGATTTTTACAAACAGTCATGTTGATTTAATAATATGAGAGTATTAAAATTCAGCGATAAAAGTATTTTCATCATTTGAAATTTTTATTTATCAATAATTGAGAACTTGCTTTTTTTTTTTGAAAAGCTGTGCGTATCTCAAATAATATAAATAAATCGCTGACATAGAAAGAGTAAATTATAATGACATATGTGGTGTTGACAAGAAAAAGAACACGTTAGACGATAAATTAAATTATATTGAAAACCTGAAACGCACTTTTGTGTCACGAAGTCAAAACTAATTATCAATATTGAAGATTACTTATGGACTGGATTCATCTGGAATATAATGAGTCATTTTGACTATGAAAGTAATGTTTGTCATGCTTTTTCTAAATATTTACATGTACAAAGTATAGTTCATACAGCACAAACTAATGAGCCTAGTTCACGATTTGTTCATTGGTCACGAACATGTACTTAAAACAAGTGGCCATATTAACATCTCATTTATTGCTAAGAATGGCTCCTTCTTTCATTTCAATTTCTCAGTCGTCTTGTTATTATATGCTAGCAAGACTCTTAAGAAAGAGAGAGAGATGAAAGAATTAGTCGTTCTTAGTAATTAATAAACTAGTATGGTCACTTCTTCGCATGATCAATAAGTAAACTGTGAACAAAACTCATTTAAAAGTGCTCATGTTCACTAATAAATATGATTATTTTCCGTGACATTTAATTTTATTAAAAAAAAAACGACGACTTTCTGGTATCTATGGATTCAAAATTGGAGAAAAATAATCTTTTTTTAAATATCTACTTAAACAACAATAATATACAAAAAAAAAGAAAACACATTCGATAATTTTAAACAGGTTCTTTAAATAATCTCGGTCGATCATTTGACCATAATGGTACAAATTGAAAATGTAAACGAAATCGACGATTTTTTGTTTTCCAATGGGATTTTTTTTGTTTGAATTCATTTGATAAATCATTTATATTTGATATATCTAAAGCAGATATTGGTTCACTATATAATGATGGAGAATTTTTCATTGTTAATATTTGATTTACAGGTTGTTGTTGTTGTTGTTGTTGACGTAATAATTTTGAATTACAATGACACCAACATGGAAAATATTTTTTTATTAAATATGGTAAACGTATTAATAAAAAACTATCACCAAAACGTGATAATAAAAATAAATAATGACATATTATTAATAAAAATTCATTATCATCATATAATGAATATGTTAAACTACTTGACAGATTATGTTTAAGAATAAATTGATAAAATTGTTTTAAATGAATTAACATTATAAGAATATGTTGTGGAAATGTTAATAAAATATATTTAAAAAGAAATATTATTAATAAATAATAACATAAATGACATAATGAATGTTGATGATTTAATTTAATTAATGTTGTTTTAAAAAATAAATTATTTTTTGAATTATTTTCTAAATCATTTTCATGTTCATAAGAAAAATCTCTTTGTGAATAAATATTTTTTCTATTAAAAAAATAATTTTGTTGTATTTTATATGAACATGATGAATGTAAATTTGTTGAAAAAAAAATTTTATATAAATTTTTATATGAATAATTTTTATCTTGAAATAAATTTGGATTTTTTTGTAAAATTTTTGAATAACATTTAATACAAGTATTTTTTTCAATAAGTAAACGTAAATTTTCTTGTTCATTATCAATTGATATATCTTCAATATTAGATTTATACAAATAATTTATCATAAGACATATAAATATAAATGAAAATATGATTAGATTTATCAATGGTAATAATATCATATTAAATGTTATTAATGGAAGTAAACTTATTGTTTGAGGAGATTTTGGAGTATAAAATATAAAATTATAAGCAAATATTAGTGCTAATGAGCTGCTTAATATAAGTGCAACATTTGTATGTTTTGTTAATAAAAGATTTTTGCCGTTAAAAAAATAACTTGAATATGTACTTTTTAATAAACGATAATAACGAAGAAAATATTGAAATACACTTATTGAAATAATAAAAAGATGAAATGTACTAAAATTAATTAATATTTGTTGTAAAAGATTTAATGGTAAGGAATAAAATGTAATTGATGAATGATGAACAAGATTTGGATGATAATGTTTTAATAATAACATTATGAAATAAACACATGAAAGGCATATATTTGAAAATGAAAATGCACGTATCCAATTACGATGTAGACAACTATAAAGCAATGATTTTGATGGTAAAAGAATTGAACGTTGATTTTGTCTTCTAGAAGAATTCAAAATAGAATTTGTGTTTTTTTTTTTTTGTTAATAGAATAATTTATTTTCTTACGTTCGATTTGTTTTTGATGATTTGTTTTGAAATGTTACTATAAATACAAGTGTATGTTCCAATAGAATAAGAATAAGAAAACAAATTTCAATTATTTGAAAATATGTAAAACTTTTATAATGATGAGAACGTACAATTTGTCCATATGAGACGACATCTTTTTCTTTAGAATGAAGCCATAAAGATTGATTTAATTTCGCTGAAATATCATTGTTAAGTATTGTAAAAGTCATTTTCTCTTTAGAAAATTCATAATACATTTAATCTAAAAATAAAAAATGACCTCGAATTATTCCAAGATATTTATCATTTATATCATGAAATGCCTTGAAAAAAAAGAAAAAAGAAAGATGATACTAATTAAGATACAGATTGTATATAACAGTCGAAAAATAATACTCATTATTTGATATGAAGCCAATAAGAAAAAAAATTGTGAATCCAAATGATGTCATATAATTTGCTTCATGAAGCATCTATTTGAATATAGATATATGTCTTTTTTATGAATATGTGAGGAAAAAAAAAAGAAGAAAGTCAAACTAGAAAGTGATGAGATATAATGTGTGTTTCAACATCAGAGTCTGCCTTACTCTATCTATCTTCTTTTATCTTTTTCTTTGCATAGGAGTACTTAAACACAAACATAAGAAGAAATGGAAATGCATCCATAATGCCTTTTCTATGTTTGGAAAATAATATTGTTTGACAGCTACTTTAAGATGTTTCATAAATTTTCTATATACTTTATATCGAGAACTATCTGAACAATCGTTTCTATGATAAATCTATTAGTTTAAAAATAGCAAAAATACTTGAATACAATTATTTATATATAACCATAAATAGTATAAAAATAAATAAGATATTTGCAATATTAATTTTCTTTTTAGATTAAATTGAAAAGAATTCTACGATATAAACTAAACATAAAATTTTAATTTGGTTCATACTGATTCATTTTACGTGACCATGAAAATAATGAATAGCTGTTATTAATAGAAGAAGAAAACCTAGTAAGATTGATTGTTCAACCAACCGAAAGAGAAGATCTCATTTCTTCTCTTATTCTGTCATGTCAGATTATATTTCTCAAATGTAGAAATCCTCGAGCTCTTCTGTTTATTAGTAATATGTTAAATATGATGATTCTCTTCTTAGCTAAGATTTATTCGAAGAACAATCTCATATTTTTCTGTTGTCTTACCACTCGAACAGAATTATCTTTTATGATCATCTCGCTTTCTTTTCCTTCAATTATTCGATTAATTATTGTTGATAATATAATGACGACGAATTCTTTTCTTTTTTATCATGCTACATTTTTGTCTATTCTAGTTAAGTATTATATGTAAATTGGGCTAATTTTTTTTTTCAGATATGTCTTTAATATGTCGTTTAATGCGTGAAGACGAATTTACATTAGATTTTGAATTATTTCTTATGGAAACATTTTTTCAACATGAACCAATGAATAAATATTTAAATACGAAAATACCTGATGAAGTTAATTTATCGTGGTTAAAAGAAGTTTTACATAAAGCTAAATATGATAATCTAACCTTAGCATTTTATGATACAAATACTCAACATTCTTTACCAGTCGCCTTTGCAATTAATCATCATGATAAAATAGATGATCATAATCATTCGGATAGTCTCTATTCATCATTAAATAAAACAAATTTACTTAAATATGAACATATTAATGAACTTCTAACTAAATTACATGAAAATATTAATCTATTTGAAAAATTTCATTGCAAAAATTTATTTCATATTTATTTGCTAGGTGTTGATCCAAAATATCGACAAAATAAATTAGCTAGTCAATTAGTCGAATCAGCAATATGCATTGCAAAAGAAAAAAATTTTGATATGATTTATGCTGATGCTACAAGTAATTATTCATTAAATGCATTTCTTAAATACGATTTTCAAATAATCAAAACAATTAATTATGACTCATATGAAAATTCTTATGGCGAAAAAATTTTTCAAAATATTCATACACATAAAGGTTGTTCGATTGTAATAAAAGATTTAAGAATGAAATAAATATATATGAAGTATCTTACCTTGATTAATAATTTTCATCTGAATTCTTATTATAACACATCAGTATACTTATAGAACGTATACTATGAATCGAGGCAAATCTGATTGTGACAAATGTTGGCCAAACTAAACAAAAGCACATGCATTAATCGGAAGTAACAAAGCCGTTAAAGAGAAAATCGGTAAATACAAATAACATATCATAAATGAGAAAAAATAGCAGAAAGGTAAAAAAAAAAAGAAAAAAAGAACAAATATTGATTGAATTGGAAGATTTTTGGTACCTCGAACGTGACATTTATAGATAGTTCAATCAAAATCTTAAAAAAAATAAATATTAGAAAAATTTACTATTGAGAAGATTACATACGCTATCTATCGTACTTCATGAATCCATGAAAATTTTATAGAAGTAAAATATTATCTTCGTTAAAGGAAACAACACATTTTTACAATTTCAAAAATCATGCGGAATTTTTCATACTGTCATAGAAATAATTTATTATAATGGAAAATCTTCGATGTCTAATTATCTTCCACATATTGTAGGACAGTGCACAAATGATGTTGATTATATTATTTTCCATTTTTTACGTATTCAAGTCATAAATCGTCTGCGTCATTTTGAGTCCTCTTAGAATTAACATAGAAGTACTATTTACTTCTATTTATTAGAACAAACGAATACATTATTCAGGAAGTTAACTGTTTGGTAAAAATAACAACACTACAACAAGGGAAAACTAGCAGACTTCAAGGTTTATAAAAACAAATCATTATATATTCTACTATTTTCTATTCAAAATATCTGACGATTGACATTCTAACTTTATTAATAAATACATTTTTAATGACCAGTTCGATTCGAAATAGACTGATGTTCAAAAACAATATACATAATCAATGTGACAAATCACACTTGGTTTTTTTTTGTATGGAAATTCTTATTATATATATATATATATATATTAAGTAAATAATAATCTGCTTTTATATCCTAATGCCAATCAATTTGGTAGAAAAATATTCAACATGTCAACTGTTTAATTGTGTTGTATTTTTATTATTGCTAGCATTGATTTGAAAGGCAAGCTGCAGGAAATAAGAAAAAAAAAAGTAATTATAAGGCATGTTTAGAAAATATGTCAAAAATATAAACAAAAAATAGAAAAAGAAATACATTTTGATATTTATCGTATAAAGAGTGTTCACTACATTTTGACTCACTTAATCAATAAATTTATTGACTCAGTGAGTCAAAATTTAATGAACACCCTTTATGTCACAATAAAGATTGAACTATTCAATGTCATATAATGGCATTTACTATTCTAGAGAAAAAATTAATAAATATGAAAATTTTGAAAGAAACATTTGATTTAGATATTTAAAGAATATTTTTATTTCTTTGATTGATAATACATGTCAAATTTTCTTAAAGAAAAAAAACATGAAAAATTTTATTAGGTTTCATAATTACGATAATAATCAAATCATTTTCGAAAGAAAATTCTACATATAAAAAAAATGACAGTATTAATCGTATAAAATTGAATTTTAGTTATCTAATAAGAACAAATAAAACTACTATTTTAATATTGTCATTGCTAAAAACTAAAAACAAGGGTTACTTGATGAATGAAGTGTATATAAATGATGAAGAATCCAGGCAAGAAGTCATGACTTATAAATGTATCTGACATGAGCAGTTTTCTTATGTGCTTTATCAATTCTATTGTTAGTAACTTATTTGAGAAAACTAATTGAATGACGAAAGTTGGAATTCTTTGAAGCTAAAACTGTTTGATATTTTTATGTTGCTACATATTCGATCTATAAGAACAATTAATGATGAAAATGCATTGAAAGAAATTAATATTCAAGCTCGTTTTTTGTTTCATTACTAAAACCTAGTCATTATGATTATGTATTAAGATAAGCTAAATTATGTCACGTTACTTACTGTTTTTTATAGGAATTAGACAATCTTTTGTTCGGTTAATAGATACAATTGATAGTGTGTCTTTTGAGGAAGATGCTGACTTATGGAAAGAATTGAGAAATCGATTCTTCTCTCCTTTCCGAAAAAAATTTCCATAATTAAGTTGCAAGATTGTTGTTCTTTGAACATTTGAAGACCGTTCTTTTACTATATATCTCTTTGAATAAATATTTGTGTCAATCAATTACTATGAACCAAGTATTTGCTTTCGCTCTTTGTCTGTAATAATTATTGTCAAATGTATATATAAATTATATATATTTGATTATGATTATTGTATTCTATTTTGTAACCCATGTATATCTTCTATGAATCAAAATTGTAACATGACTAATAATGAATGTACACGTCCATGATGATGATGATACTGAATTATACTGTTCAAATAAACTAACTATGCAAGGTTTTTATTACTAAATCAACAATTGAATTAGACTAGAAATTCCATGATTATATGATATTATTTCAAAAGTCAAACAAAATGAATATAAATTACTAATGTATGAACATTCATTGCTAGAGAAATATTTGGAAATGTATCAAGGCATTTTTCTGTCAATATTGTTTTTCTTGTTTTTCAAGACAAGGAGAAAACAAACTTCCTGACCAATTTTTTAATAAACCATTGCAATCATTAAAAAGTTCTATTGATTATTTGTCAGTTTATCATAAACTCTTCTTTTCTCAAACACTTAAATACATTAATCATTCTTTTCATTTGTAGGATATCTTAAGTCACGATTCAAATATTTGTCAGATTAGTGTCAATTCTGACATGATTCGCTTCTAAATTGATTTTAACAAAATTAATGGTGACAGATAAAACTCGACGAGTTGTATGGATTCTACACTTCATTTGTCAAATTACAGTGTATCATCAATGGGTTTACTGACTGCACTGTGTGAATATTTTTATTATAACTACGTAGTTGATCAAGATTTATATATTTTCAAGATCAGATAGACCTTAATAATATTTGTACAAAATATTAATAGATAATACTCTGCTAATTAATTGTGATACAGGATTATAATTATCCCTCATGTAGATAACACTACTTAATGATACTAACAGAATAGAGAAAACAAAGATGATTAAGACGAATATAAGATACAACCATGTTATACGTTAAGCGTAAATTATCTATGAAAAAATCTTTTTCAATTAACTCGGTTATAAAACAACATGAAAAAGTGCATTCGTGGATTTGTTATAGAAATCATACGATGAATCATCCATATCAGCTAGTAGATCAAATGAAAATGAGAGAAAACGATTAATTAATTAATACTTTTTTATGTATAGTATCTAGACAGAGAAAAAAAATTATTGACTCATATGTTTTATTTAAGAAGTATAAGAGAATGAAAGGCAGTACACATTAATATGTGATAAACAGAGATCAACAAAAGAAATAATTGATATTAATATTTATTTAAGAAGATAGTCTTGTATTGTGAAAAGACTACGTAACAAGAAAGAAGGGATGAAGTCTTTTTTTTTTTGATGAAATAGATTAATGTTTATTTTGAATAAAGGACCCCACCGGATAAGAGTCAAAATCTGCCACCCTACAGAATTTAATCGAAGTTATATATTCTGAAAGACCATTTTTTGACGCACATTTCCGCCTATTTTCTTTTGCCAAAAGGTCTAATTAGAGACTGGCAAGAAATAGTTTTTTGAATGCCCCTAATATTCATTAAACTACCTTATATCACACTTCGGTCCATTATCAAAACATATCGTTTTTCGTTTTCAAAATTTTGCTTCGAAGTTTATTGAATAGTGCCAATAGATTCGCCAAAATGTGCTCTACAAATTAGTATAAATTTATCAATTTTAAATTATTCTTGCTAAGAGTCATCAGACATATATATATAAGATAATAGAAGAAAATTCACGATTATATGAGTATTTTCACAATATTTACTTCAAGTTTTATGTTGATTTTTCTATTAACATCCATTATGACAAAAATGGGATTATTATAGAAAAACTTCCTCGTGATTTGCTCTACAAAATGGTATAATTTTAACTAAAAAATAAATAGTCCCAAAATAGAATATTCGATGATTACATTTAAACATGGCCATTATTTTATATGTATACCAATACTTCTTTTAAATCAATATTAGATTTTATTTTAGTTATTCTAGTTCATATCCTAGAATTGATATTAGATTTATATTTAATAAGTAAAATGATGTTCATTAGGACTCTGTGCAGTAATTCTATATATGT